TCAATACATCAAAAATCAGAATTTTTAAAAAAATCATGCAGATTGAGATCTTCAAAGATAAATTAGTCTCATCAGTTTCCTTGAAATAAGTTTAATTATTCGATACAACAAATTTAATAATCGTATAAAAAATCACCTACTGCCTTAATGGTATCAAAATCAAAGAAGAAAATAAAATAATTTAAAAATGTTTCATACCAAACAGCGCCAGAAGGAGTAAAATTGTCGTTTTCATGATGAAGAGTTTTGCAGTCCAGTACTGTAGTATACTCAAAGAAGAATATCTTCTCACATCAGTGTCGGATGGCAATTCCCTAACCTTTTACTAACCTATGTAACTTTGTTATTCCCTAACCTTTTGCAACAGGAAATTCTCTTTCGCTATCAGTGGAAAGTGGTGCCATTTTATTACAAACCGGAACACAGTATCTGATAGCCTCGTCCAGAACTAAATTTTTTCCTTCAATTGTATCCAACATCTATGTGGTTAATTAAAAAAAAATCGCATATTATTATAAAAGAATAACTTTTTTAATGAAAATTTATTCTAAAAATGCTATCTTTCAAGACGGTAAGCGAGCATCATCATTAGTAATAAGAAAGACGATGAGTTTCTGCTTATTGCGTTGAAACAGCAATCTGTCTCTTGGACTTATGAATACAGGGTGATCGTTAATGACCATCTTTGAAGTATATTTCTAACATCCATTTTCGGAAGTGAAGTCAAAAAGTATATATTTATGAGAGAAAAAAGGATATCAATCACAGGTTATGAAGCCAAAACTGAAAACATCAAAACCTGTTTAATTGCGAGAGGAAACAGAAAGGAGTGGAAAATTGACTTTCACAAACACCTCTTATATCAGCCGGCAATAAGAGTTTCAAATTTGTTTCTGTATCTTTGTTTCTATCTTCGCTTGAATATTAATTCACTAGAGGGGAGTGGGGTCAATTGTAAAATTTTTTGCTTATTACATTTTTAACTAACAAAAAAATCCAATATATTATTAGTATTAATTGACAGACGAGTAAAGTAGACTATCCTCTACTAGAAAAAAAAATAAATATCTTATTTTAAATGTTATTATATTCGTTATTAACAATTTTTGACAGTCGTGCACTTGTTACAATTGTCCCCACTTACTGGGTCACTTGTGACAGTTCATAAATTCAACTAAAACATAGTTAATTACACTTATTATCGTAGTTGTGATATATTTTTTTATTGATCAAAATAGTAGTGATACTTTAGGAGCAAAAATAATAATGAGCAGAGACCTAAAGGGTAAAACTTCTAACTTTAAGGGGTTAAAAATTTTAATTTATGCTCTGAAAGGTGATAAATAAAATAATGCACATGCAACATAATATAAATGGTATAGGAAACTATAGGTGGTTCTTAAAGAGTTAAGTAATGGTTTGTAAACATAAGATCATTTATTTTCAGCTGTTACAATCGTTCCTTTACTTATTGTTACAATCGTCCACAAGATACCATTTCATATTCATTTGTTAAAAATAATGCTAGTTAATTAACAAAACTAATTTTTTTTAATGTTTATTAAGGTGTTCACTTACATATTCGGTTAATAATTTTTATTTGTTTAAACAAAATTACTTTGTTACAATATTGAAAGAAAACACAAATAATTAAGATCAAAAGGATAAAACTTCTTTGAAAAAAACGCGCTAAGAAGCAGCAGAAATTTCAGAAAAAAAGTATCAATACAAAACAAATGAAATAAAATAAAAATATGACCACCGAAGCCGACGTCTTCAGGGGGTACCGGCCCCGGTAGCCATTAAAAACAAAACCATTTCTATTTGAGGGAGAAGCAAAAGCTTAAAATATCTCCCTCAGTACCCCGATGGTTTTGTATAGAGGTCCAGGAAAAACAAGATACATTCAAAAGAATAAACAAATTACGAAAAGAAAATCAATAAAAATCATCAGAAAATTAAAAACTCACAGTCACAGGTCAAGAATAAACTTCAAAAGCAAGTGGAGGAAAAAAAAAACTAAAAACTGAAAAACAACGCCCCCTATAATAATGCGCAGTAGAAGTTTAAAAATGAAATGAAAAAGGTCAGGAGAAGGAGATACGTAGATAAATTAATAGAATGCTTAACTGGGGCTGCTCAGTTAAGACTAGAAATGCGCCCTGTTAAAAGAAAAAATATATAAACTTAAAAACCATCAATCATTTTTTTTAATTAAAAAATTAACATTACAAAAATTAAAAGGAAAATCATTTTTACTCAAATTATTTAAAAAATTATCCACAGCTTCCCGAAAACTTTCAACATTATTACAAATTTTCTTGATCCTAACTAATTGCGAAAAAACAAGATTTTTGAATATTTTACTACACAAATTAGTTTTAAAGTTGCAGAAAAAAATAACATTAAAATTAAAGGCTTTTCTTTTATCAAACACACCAATTTTAATAAAATTGTTAACAATATCAATTTTAAAATCTAAATATTCAATATTAAAGCAATTTTCATTAGTTTTTTTCAGGACCAAATCACCAGGATAAATTAGACATAG